CCTCACCCCCTTGGATGGGTTAGTGCCCTGTTCTCCCACTACCCATGTTTTTTTTCCCTTTCCCCCTCCTTTTTAATTGGCTACCATAGGTATCCCTGGATTGGTCTGGCCCCTGCCATACTACCTGGATCTCACCCCAGGAATGTATTCAAACCCGACTTTTACCAAGACCTCTAGACTATTGTAAAACGATAACTGCCATCTTCACCAGAAGGTTTCAAACATAATCTGATGAAACCAGAACATCTACTCTAACCCTTCATATAATCCTTGCCCTGTGGACTCCCCATTTTCTGCCTTTTTTTCTCCTCTAAGTTAATGAAAACTCTACTCTTCATTTGGTTAGGTCAAATCTTTTGAAGTCATGCTTAACTCCACACCTCCTTTCCACTTATTGCAAAGGGATCAGATTCCTGACAGATGCGTGGGAAGATCTATGTAGCACATGCACAGAGAAAGTAGGCGCCATCCTTAGCTCATTTGGTCCATGGGAAGCCTTAGAAAACATGCTCAGGGGAGACATTTAACAGGAATGATTTATCATTAGGTTACCTTTCAGGAAGAGCTTCTGTAGTTGCGGATACCTGCTGCTCTTATTAGACTGTGGTTGAGGGAGAGAAAGGTATAATAGAAGTTACATTCTAAAATGGTTTGTCTCCTCCAGGAGAGACTGTTCTGCATAATTTAGGAGAATCTAATTGTATGAATACGCTCAGTATTGGCAACCGTAAGGCACATAGTGATGCCTGGTTTTGTGACACTGAAAACAAAGCTTTTAATGATGGTTTCACTCACAGTTTGCAACACAAACCCCAACACCTGTGCCCGTTCAGTGTTCTGTTATTGTGAAAGTAATTATACTATTCATAGAGTACAATAATCTCCAATATTTCTCAAAGGAAAAGAACAAATCGTGCCTCTTTTGGTTCAATTTACAGAGCAAAATTTAACATCTTTACTGTTCTACAGGAAAAACAGAACTAAAAGGGGGGAAAATCACACTGACAGTTCAGATAAACAGATGACTGTACATCTCATTGAATATATTTATTTTAAATTTCCCTTTCATTTGTCTTTTGTATAAAGTATATTTGAAATTAATATTTAACCGACCACAATTATTTATGGATCCATACATAGAAAGTTCTGCATAGACTGACAATACTGGTAGGGATAGGCTCTAATCTGTGGAACAAAACTGGAGTTTACATTTGGCCTGAGATTTAGTATTTAGGCCCTGTTGAATGTAGGCATTTCTGAAGTTTGCCAGCTGTGTAAACAACTAATGCATTCATCTCTTAACCACAGGTTCAAGTCCCACTCAGAGGCACCCGAGGAAAAATGTCTGGTGAACTCCGTATGAGAACGCAGATCTTACAAACCGTATGGGGCCCAGTTCTATTCTTATGCACGTGGAGTCACCAGGGATTGGAATCTACTGAGTAGCAACTGATGTGTGATTTTGCTAAGTGTGACTCTGATGAAGTATCAAACAAAAGAAGATAGACCTCACTGGTCATTATTGTTACTTATTTTGTGTTTGTTATTTATTGAAGGCCACGTATTTTTCACACATTGTCACATTCATCCTCAATAATAATACTCCTCAACAAAAAGTAGTTATCATTGAGGATGAATGAGACAATGTGTGAAACATGAATGACACACAATGCAAGAAACAGTAAATACACCTGAGGATTACTGCTTCGATTGTACGGATGAGGGCAATGGGTTTCATATCAGTTTAGATAAATTGTTTGAGACTGCACTGCTGAAAGGAAATAATTAGATGGTAAAGAGTTTGAACACCCCTTTCCTGTTCCTTCAAAGCTGGTGTTGTTCCTTGCTGCACTGTGGTGCCTCTACTCCCACATAAAAGGGAAGAACACAACAAGAGTGCTGTGGAAGCACATAAAGAAGACTGAGTTGTGTTCTCCTCTGGGAGGCGGGAAGAACAACCAGGGCAAGAGGAATTGGAGGAAGAGTGGAAACAGCTCCCTTTTCCTCTCGGAATGTTCTGCAGCTATGGTCTTGATGAAAGAGATAAAGAGACTCTGTGACACATTAGGTGATTTTTCAATGCCCCAAGAGTCCATTAATCAACAGTTATTTGAAAAAAAACCCAATAGTCGATTCTTTAATAATTTGATAAAAGCAATAAAGTGTAAAAAATAATGTATGTGCTTGAAATGTTATTATTTTTATTTGCTATGGTTTCTCCACTGATGATGTTTCAACACCTTTGCTACATATTCTTCTTCTTCTTTTTTTTTTCATATTCTTCTTTAAATAATGTATTAGAACTTCCAGTACTCTAAGCTCTCAGTTCTACTGTGAAATTGTTTATTATGAAGACTATGTTTACTCTGATTAAAAAAACCCTTTAATTGTCGTTGGCGGTGTCTAATAAACATTAGTGGTTCATTAAAAATAAGAGAGGATCAGTAATGGGAACAAGTAGAACTATTTTGAAAACAAACGAAAAAGACCAAGTTAACTGGTCAGATAGAGGGCTAAGGGTATATATGGCCTTTAGTCACCCCTCGGGCCTGGAAATGAACTCACCCCTATGGTTAACTTTTTATTCAAGCGACAGAGAGGCCTATGCAGGAAAAAAAAAACACTAGGAAGGTTGCACAACTTAGAATAACCAACCATTTAAGACCAAAAAAGGGTGGTGGGCAGCATTTATCCAAGGAAAAGGTACAGAAGAGTTATGAAAAAGGAGGAATAGAAAAAGCAACTTCCTTTCGGGAAGAAATGAGATAAGCTATGTTAGATTGTAAGGGTCACAGTCAGTAATGTGAAACAAAATATGCATGACTTGTTAAATGGAAAATTGATGTATTCTGTAAACTTTCAGCTTTTCATTTCACAATAAGTGAAAAAATTAAAAACAGTCAAGCAAATTCCTAAGTTATTATCCAGGGTAGAGAAATTCTGCTATGGTCTTTATGGACAGTGTGGCTAGCCACTACCATGCCAGTAGGTTTGTCCGTAAAAATATGGAAGAACATATGTAATAATACTTCATCAATTCAACTCATAATTAGGGCCAGAAATCAGAGTCCGTGAATTTACATGTGGGAAGTAATGGATTAGAGGAATGACCTCTTAAGGGTCTCAATATCATGAGAGAAATACGTTTTCAATGTGTTTTAATAGAGGATATCATTATGTTGTTAGGAGCCTGCAAGTTGGTTCCAACTAATGTGTACATGGAACAAAGTACCACCCACTCCTGTGCCAGCCTCACAATTGTTCTTGTGTGTGAGCCCACTGTTGCAGCCCGTGTGTCAATCCATCTGACAGAGGACTTTCCACTTTCTCACTGCCCTCCGTGTGACCAACCATGATGTCCTTCTCCAGGGACTGGTCTCTCCTTATGCAGTGTCCAAAGTGCTTGAGACGAAGTCTCACCATCTTTCCCCTAGCCTTCTGATTACACCTCCAAGACAGATTTGTTTGTTCTCTTAGCATTCAGGGTACTTTCAACATGTTGAAGGTTCATCAGCACCATGGTTCAAATGTATCGATTCTTCTTTGGTCTTCTTTATTTCACAGGAATATGAGACAGTTGAAAATACCATAGCTTGGGTCAAGTGCACATTAGTCCCCAGAGTAACATCCTAGCTTTTCAACACTTTAAAGAGGATTTGTGCAACAGATATATTTCCAATATAATGTATAACTTGACCTCTTGTCTGCTGCTTCCATGAGTATTGATTGTAGGTTCAAGCAAGACGAAATCCTTGACAACTTCAATCTTTTCTTAGTTTATCATGACGTTAGGTATTAGTCCAGTTGTGAGGATCTTGGTCTTCCTTACATTGAGCTGTAATCCATACTGAAGGCTGCAATTCTTGATCTTCATCAGCAAGTGCTTCGGATCCTCCTCACGCTCAGCAAGCATGGCATTTGGCTTTTACTTATTTGAAGTTTGGTTGCACTAAAAGGAAAGAAAATTTGCAACGCTTTTTTCATTAATCATCAAGTTTCTTTCTTTTAAGGCTAAAATCTAGCTTGTTTTCTAGTTACCAACAGAGTCAAAAAATAATGATGAAGCTTCAAACAGGTCATTGACATATGATTTTCTGGTAATTCATTAAAATAGAAATATAATGCACAGATGATGTCTAAAGATGTGTTTGGGGGGGGCTTGTCTGCCTGTGCCATGTTATTTTGGGGGACTATGGATAAAGACCTTGTCAAGTACGCTTTTTTGGAGTATGAATGATAAGGGATTGTTTAAGAGTTCAGCAAAAGGCCTATATTTAAGTATTTTAATGAATAGGGATCATTCATAAAGAACTAGGGAATAGGCAGGGTCTAATATTAGCTTCACTGACAGTTCTGTGAAAGTGAAAATTGTTTCCTAAATTAACAAAAGTGGCTTAATTGTCAGGATGTGTTGAAGCCACACATATAAGTATGAACCAATTGCTCTAAGGCTTTAACATATGTACAGGTGCTATATTATCTGTCATTTAATTAATTGAAATCTGGGTCTAAAAGTGTGATTTTCTATAGTTTAATGACAGAATCTTAGCCTTCTATGGGGGAGGTCTTTGGAGTTCCCTGGAGAAGGACATCATGCTCGGTCAAGCAGAGGGGCAGTGGAAAAGAGGAAGGCCCTTGACAACATGGATCAATACAGCGCGGCAACACTGGCTCACACATAGAGACAACTGTGCGGACGGCACAGGCCTAGGCAGTGGTTCGTTCCGTTGTGCACAGGGTCACTAGGAGTCAGAACCACTTTGCTGACATCTAACAGCAACAACGTGTTCGCTGCTAAGGTTTAATTGCTAACCATTTCATCTAATATGCAGTCCTAATCTTTCTCTCCGTGGAAATTTGGGTGATGCTATGTTGCTGACTCAAGTCCCAGGGCTCACGTGCCGAGCTGCGAACCCAAAGGTTAAAGCTGTTGTGTACCCTGTGGAGTCTCTGAAGGAAGGCCCACTATCCAATTCTGAAAAACTAACCCGATGGAGCTCAGGTCTACTTTGACACACCTGGGGTCACCTTGAGTCAGAATGGACTCATCAGCAACTTGTTCTTTGTTGTTTCTTTTGCTTTATTCTAAAAACATATAGACCAAGAAGTCAGTGATGATGCAGTGATAGAAGTCTTACATTCCAGGTTGTGAACCCAATTTCAATTCCTAGCCAGTGTATTTTGTTCACAGCCACCACCCACCTGCTAGTGAAGGCTGGTGCATTGCAGTAACGCTGAACAGATTTTAATGTAACTCTGAGCCTGAGACAGACGAGGAAGAAAAGACTAGCGATCTTTTGGAAGTCAGTTACTGAAAACCCTGAGGATCACAGCAGATGGATCTCCAGCTGATCATGAAGTTGGTGCAGGACCAAGTAGCATTTTGTTTTGTTGTGAGTTTGCCGTGAGTTGGGGGCTGAACTTGATGGTAACTCATAACAATAACAATCTGGTTGAGGAGTTCCTCACTTGCAAATGGTTAAATATGATCGCTGCTAATCAGCCTCTGGAAGTCCTAGTCCAAGCAGAAGTATCTTAGAAGAGGGCTCTGGAAACCATCGACTTTTGGAAAATCACTCTTTGGTGCAATTCTACTGTGACACATGGTTTCCATAAGTCTAAATTGATGCAACACCAACCAGTTACTGGTAAAGTTAAAGGTTCATTGTTTTCAAAGGTTCCCCATTCTCCAGATTCAAACCCTTAGGTTAGTATTCAAAAGCTCTTTGTGAACTATCCCCATATTCCCATCAATTTCATCAGTTACTGCCCCCTCACAGTATTTATGGCTCTTTTCCAAATTAGAATTATTGGAGGACACATCAGAATTCAGGCCCCTATAGCTCATGCTCAGGGATCGTTTCATTAGTTTGGGGGTTTGACTTGAAAGTCCTCATTTCTAACATTCTGATAATTTAGACCAGGTCTGTCAAACAGAGGTTTCTCTGATGTACTATCCAAAATGGTTGACCTTCACTGTAGATAGTGCAACTGAGGAAATAACATTTACTTAAATTTAAAGATTAATTTAATTTAAATAGTTTTATATTTTTGGTGAATACCAAATTGGACATGTAGGTTCAGAATATAATTGGGGGGAGTTCCTATATGATGGCCATACTTCCCTTCCTTAGTGTGTTAGGCTAGGTTGACTAGAGAAACAAATCCAGTGGCAGTCATACATGTGTAAGAAAGCTTTATATCAACAAGTAATTATATATCGATAAAACATCCCAGCCCAGTCCAACTCAAGTCCATAAGTCTGATACTAGTCTATAAGTCCCTCATCAGAATCAGTCACAAGCAATTCCCAGGCCCTCGTGATGAGAAGGCCACGCCCACAAGGAGGCACCATCAGGCCGTAACCTGATTGGCAGGCTGAATACCATCCCTATACTTTTCTATAATTTCAATTTGACATGAAATCAGGTAGCTACCACACTTGAGATCTTGGCTTGACACCTCGAGAATCCATTCTTCTCTTGTCACCATCCTCCTCCCTACATGTCCAGTTTCCACAGTTTTTTCCAAGAACTGTCTCTTGACCTCTTTAAGTCTGGGTTAGATGCCCCTCTGTTATCATAGATGTATGCCCCCTTCTAACAGCAGCATCTTGTGGGGAGTCTTGATACAACAAGTTCTTTCTGCAGACTTGTTACATAAATTCATAAATGAAAATATAAAGCGGCAAAACAATAGGTTGTAGAATCACTTGCCTGACATGCATGAGCTGATATTGGAAATGAGATGATGAAGGCTTTTTTCTTTCTTCTTTTTTTTAACTGTGGTTTTGCTATATGGAATTAAACCAAGATAAACTTCTAGAGAGTTACATTTTATGCCCATGGTCTCTCATCACTAAGAACAGCATCTCTTTGATGCCAACTCTGAGAATTAGGGTGCTGGAGGGCGCTCTGGAGTACCGAAGGAACAGGGAATAAACTTTATTGACTATGCAGGGGGAAAATCACTTTTGAATTAATCGAAAGCAAATTAATGCCAAACAATTGTTAAAGGGATAAAAGTTGTAAAATTATAAAAAAAACAACACTTATTCTGACTATAAAAGTTTAGGATTGTGGTATATATTTCAAAAGTGACCCTCCTTTATGATGTAACACCATTCTGCTGAAATGCTCAACAAATATTGAATTATATTGTAATAAAATGTCCATCTTTAATTTGGGGTTGAAAGCTTAATAGGCTCTTTGTAAACTGTATGTGAAGTCTTCATTATGAATTTAAAATAATAATCTGATTTTATTCACTCCCCTAGAAATATGCTTGCTCTCTGTGATTTTGTGCTCTCTAATCTAGGCAAAACATTAAAAAAAAAATCACATTTATTACCCAAAAAACCCCACTGAAATTTGCTTTAAAATTATTGGCAAG